AAATACAGTATATCTGAATTGCCTACGTGAAATTAAACAGTTCCAATTGTTATTGAAATTGTAATGTATTTTTGCATAGTATAAAATAAATTAATGTATTTTTAACTTTTGTTCTTAAACATGTTATTAAACCTATCTGTACAGTGACAAAGGAGTAAAGGTTGACCTTGGAATTCCACTTGATTTATGGGACAAACCATCCGCTGAAGTTTCACAGCTAAAAACTCAGGTAACTCAACAATATCATGACAGAAAAATACAAAATCAAGGTATTGCAATTAGTGAAAATTAGTTTTTTGTGCATTAAAGTGACCATGTTGGACAAATAAGAGCCTGAAAACATCACGGATACAGCACTTTTGTAAAAAAAAAATAATATTATAGTTCTATATGAATAGAGGTTGGGCATGGCCTAGTGATTAGCTTGCCCAGACTATGAATCCAAGGATTAGTGGTTTGTAACCTGTTGCAAAACATGCTTCACTACTTGGGACTTTGGATGTGATCAAATCTGACCATTAAGTCCAACAAGAATTGTCCAGGTATCTTCTCTCTAGTGTTTTCAAAATTATCTATGTGCAGATATCCCTATACATGATTTAAACATGAATATGAGACTAAAGTGGATAACATTAACAGTGTTTGTACATGAATATGAGACTAAAGTGGATAACATTAACAGTGTTTGTACATGAATATGAGACTAAAGTGGATAACATTAACAGTGTTTGTACATGAATATGAGACTAAAGTGGATAACATTAACAGTGTTTGTACATGAATATGAGACTAAAGTGGATAACATTAACAGTGTTTGTACATGAATATGAGACTAAAGTGGATAACATCAATAACAATATTTGTACATGTAAAATACTGCAAATGAATAAATAAAAAAATTTGTCAAATGATTCATGCCATTTCGTTTTTGTACACCTCCCAGTTGTTATTGGTGTCAATATGAATATCAAATTAATATATAATATTTAGTTTGTAGAAATTGTTATAAAGCAGTGCTACTGTAGTGTGTAACTGTTTTAGTGCTAATATTGATTAACTACTGTTTGTCTCACTGAAGTGGCTGTTCTGCATCGCAGGTTGATGAAACAGAAAGTCGAAAAAGTCCAAAATAATGTCTTGTTGAAATGGCAAGATGCTATTTTTTTATCAGTGTGTGATGACTCGTCAGGATGTGGCATGTATTTATGAACGTTTACCACACATCATGCTTACATCACTTGAACATGTGGTAACTTTTCCCCATGATGTGATAAATTAGGAAGAAAATACTGTATCTTTTGCATTAGTTACAGCTACTATTAGTAGTGGGATTAATAATAGTTTATCTTTCAGTATATTGCAGGAACTGCCTCACGGTGGTTATTTTACATTGTATAGCTCATCAACTTGAACATTTTGTTAGCAACAAAAGAAAACTAAAGGTCTAAACTGTGATGGGTTAACTATGATATACAAACACTATTACTATAGTCCGAAGGCTTACGAGAGAGTTTAAACCCATCGAAGAAAATCTACTGAACCCTCATGTCTTCCAGGAACAAGATTTGCTAGCCTTGAAGAAAGACTATGAAGTTTGGGTAAATTGTTTTCAACAAACTACCACTCTTGGTAGTACAAGTAGGGACAGCTGATGTTAAGAGTAGATACACGTTCATCTCGCGAGAGATTTATTTTTCTTCTCGTATATATATACCTGAATTTGTGAGCAGATTGGGGTTTAAACTCCAGACAAATTCTCTCACTCTAGCCGAATTTGTGGATTTTTCTCAACACAACAACTTTGAGATCACTTAGCTTGCTGAAAATCTCCAGAACTTCTTTGCTTTGAGATGTGGTAATGGAAAGTGTGAAGGTGTTCTTCACAAGAATTATGGTGATCTTGAAATGGAAATCAGTGAATTATGGTAACTTTCAAATGGAGATCAGTGTTATACTGGATCTAATGTCAGGGAGGCTACGGCTGGGCATGGGCTAGTGATTAGATTGCTAAACTGTGGATTTGAGGGTCCATGGTTCATGTTCCATTGCTGCAAGATCACATCTCGCACTTTTGGGGCTATGGGTATATTATGTTTGAATCCCACTATTGAATTAAAGAAGTCCAAGAGTTGGCAGTGGGTGCAATTGAATAGCTGGCTTCCATCTACTTTATCTGTTTAAAAATTAACGATTTGGTTGGATTGAAAATATATATATGAAAATGAAAAATATTTTTTAATTATCTTTTTTACCGAATAATATTTTTTTTTAAATTCACAAAACGATGTATGACAGCCAGATCAAGGGCTATTTAGTGTTTCTTAGACTCTAAAGCAATATAATTTGGGAAGATAGAATATTTAGTTTACTTGCCTGAGAGCAGGTAGCTCAGAAAGCTAATGTAGAGCCCTACAAGTTACAGCTAATTAATTTACCACTTCATCTACGAAATGGCTAAGTGTGGCCCAGTGGTTAGCATGCTGGACTGTGGATCCAAGTTTCTATTGTTCTCAGCTCATTTCTGCAAAATATTGGACCTGTGGGTGCGTTATAAGAGTGAAAGTGGTCAAATCCCACTAATAGTTTAGAGTATACCACAAGTTGGAGTTGAGTGGTGTTGACTAGTTGCCTTCCCTTTGGTACATCACATCAAAATCATGGACAGCTTGCATATGTATTACTCGAGCAGCTTTGTGCAAAATTCAACAAACAACAACATAATTTATCAAGACAACATTGTGCCAATATTTTTATAAATATGAGAGCACTGGTTTTAAGCCTTCATATTCCATTGTTAATTTATGGAAACTTTGTAAGTGTTTCGTAGTTCCTGTTTCTAACATACAAACTAAGAAAATAATTAGATTAAAAAAAAGAGATTCAGTAAAACCTTTGGAAAATTATGTCTGATAAAAAAAGGCAAAAAAGGAAGCTTGAAGATAGTTTCTACTTAGTTTTATTTGAGATAGTAATTACATTTAAGAAAACAAACTACTAGGAACTGCTATGAAACTTGTGATAAACTGCTTGTAACCTACATAAGGTAATCTATCATTTCTCTGTTTTTTTTCTTCAGTGTGAAAGTCTTATTGAAAAACATGAAGGAGATATTGAAAATTGGTACTTTCATCATCAAGATGTTCCTTTAAGACAGTACTTGTGTATTGACAGAGCTTTGAGAAAAGGTGATGACGGTAAGTTATAAATTATGGTACTTCATTGCTTAAAAAACGTGGATTATATGTACCGTTTTTTTTGTTTGTTTGCAAAACAAGAAAGGAGTACTCGGCATTTGAGAAGCTCATTTAATTATCTAGTAATGGTCACTCTGAATGCTGAGAAATGATATGATTTTGTTGTAAATATACTCTCAACAAGAAGTATTATGTTCAATCAAGCATCTGACATTAAAGTCAGTGGACACTTTGTCAGCATGAATCTGGTTTACAAACCATAAGTAAGCTCACTATTTCCTCTGTTTTTTTTTATGCTCTCACTGCTTAGCAGAGCAGGCCATGGTGGTTTATCCCTGTCTGCCCTAATATTGTGGACAGAATATCTCAAGAGGTTTGTCTCTGTCTGCCCTAATATTGTGGACAGAATATCTCAAGAGGTTTGTCCCTGGCTGCCCTAATATTGTGGACAGAATATCTCAAGAGGTTTGTCCCTGGCTGCCCTAATATTGTGGACAGAATATCTCAAGAGGTTTGTCCCTGGCTGCCCTAATATTGTGGACAGAATATCTCAAGAGGTTTGTCCCTGTCTGCCCTAATATTGTGGACAGAATATCTCAAGAGGTTTGTCCCTGTCTGCCCTAATATTGTGAACAGAATATCTCAAGAGGTTTGTCCTTGTCTGCCCTAATATTGTGGACAGAATATCTCAAGAGGTTTATTCCTATCTGCCCTAATATTGTGGACAGAATATCTCAAGAGGTTTGTCCCCATCTGCCCTAATATTGTGGACAGAATATCTCAAGAGGTTTGTCCCTGTCTGCCCTAATATTGTGGACAGAATATCTCAAGAGGTTTGTCCCTGTCTGCCCTAATATTGTGAATAGAATATCTCAAGAGGTTTATTC